CTTAAATAATTATCTGCTTCATATAAACACATCTGCAGGCAGTTTCACCTGGTCTTGTTACTGTTCATGGCCATTTCTGTGTAAGAAAAACCAACCATCTACTTTCCGTTCAGAGATTCATTTCTTCAATAAATATTTGTTAAGTATCTGGTGTATTCTTGGCATCCTAACTAGATCTGGGAATACTTTGGTGAGAGAGAAAGATACAATTTCCTTACAAGCATTTAATCCAGCAGGGAGAGAGGCAATTAAATAACTAAACTCACCTTGCTACTTGCCATGATCCAGAAATTAAGGACTATGAGAAAACACATAACAGAGATGCCTAATGACTCCCAAAGGAAGTTACTTTTAAACTGGGCACTGAAGCCTGAGTAGGAAGGTAAAATGGGTTTAAAAAAAAAAAAAAGCCTACTTTATTTTATTTTATTTTATTTTATTTTATTTTTTATTTTTACACTTGCGTTTGAGACTTCTTTCTTGTTTTTCAATAAAGGTGTTCACAAAAGAATAATTTAAAATTTAGAAGCTTGACATTTGAAAGTTAAGTCTTTTGATTGGGGATTTTTTTGCCATACCTAGATTCCTATGTTTCCTAGATCTTAGTCTTAATAATAGCAGATTTAAATTTCTGTTGGGGCTGTGGTTTCATAAAGAATAGTTACTATCTTAGAATTACTTAAGGTAGTGTTACCTATGAGATACTAGAGACCTATCCTAGTTCCAGTGAAACAGAATCTCTGAGGACATGAGAATGCTACTTACATTTACATGCTTAACAGACACCTACTCTCTGTATTGAGTGTATATTCGGAATCTCCCCCAATTTTCTTCTAATTGCCTCAAAATGAAGTATATGTCTTTTGGGGCACAACTGTCTTAGCTGTCCAATGCCAAAGTCTGCCCTTGATTATTTCCCTATTACATTACCTAAGGCATTATGTTGGTATATAAGCATTTTTGGGGACTAAAGTGACACATGCCTAGGGCAATCACCAGTTATTGCAGCTCTCTTACTTGGGAGAAGTGGGAAGCAGAAAGGTCATTGTTCAAAATTCCTGCTTCGCCTATCTACAGTTGTATATTTTTATCTAGGAAAAGAAAATCACGGTCACTGTAAGTGACTAGCCTCTGGCCAACTCAGAAAATTGGAGCAAAGTTTATCAAAGTACTTTAGAGTTTTGACCCAACATGCAATGTTTTACCAACTATATCTTTTTAGTGCCAAATGATGCTGCATAAAACTGTTGCATTCATTGGGATAACAATAGCCTAGAGTAAAGATAGCACCCTATGGTAATTCAGTCTCTAAAGAAAGATTCAAGTTTATCTCTTTCTCATTTTAATAGCCAAATATCAGCACTCAAGTTGAAGGGAGTCTCCACTGGACATGCTTTTTTGGTTTTTGTTTTGTTTTGCTTAGTTTTTGGTGTTAAGGATTAAAACTAGGCATTTGCGCTGAGCTTCATCCTCAACCCTTTTAAACAAACAAACAACAACAAAAACCCCTCACAGTTTTGTTAAGTTTCCCAGGCTGATTTTGGGATCCTCCTGCTTCAAGTGCTAGGATTATAGTTTTGGGTCACCGTACTGGCATTCCACATGGTTTTTTAAGTGACAAGGTATTATTTCATTGTTCAAGTAACTTTTATTTCTCGTTCCTTTCCCTAGAACATTTGCTAATTGGAATGGTAAATCAGGTTATTATAGCTTCCTGTTAGAGGGAAAGAAAAGATTAACACTGAGAAAGTCCAAAAAAAATGCATATGTCACTTCTATTCATATTTCATAAGTGAAAACATAGTTTTGTGGTAACACATAACTAATATTGGGGATCAGAAGCATGGTCTTTGAGAAAATGCCACATGCGCAATTTGAATTATATTAATGTAAAAAAGGGAAGAATAGACATTGTTGTATGATTAGTGGTTTCCATAACTGTTCTTTAGAAACATACATTGAAAAATGATGCTTTTTGTATGGAAGAGATTATTAACTCTGAAAACAAATGCATGTTTTTTTAAAAGCATAGAAATTTGCTAGTTTAGTAAGAAATGACATATATTTCCTTTTGTAAAATAAGTCTGAATAAGTTATTTATTGGTGCTTTGCAAATGACTCATCTTTTAAAGTCTTGAGGTGTGTCAGCAAACTTTTTCTATAAAGAGAAGATAGCAAATATTTTAGATTTTGCAAGCTATGGTATCTCTGCTGCAACTATTCAACTCTGTTACAGTAGTGTTAAATAGTCTTAGACAATACATAAATACATAAGGGTGGATGTGCCCTAAATAAAATTTAAAAATCTCTAACAGTCTGGATTTGGCCCATGGGCTACAGATGGTGAATTTGCTTTAAAATAATAGCTTTAAAAAAAATGTTTTCTTTTGAGTCTGTGGGTGATAAATTCATAATCTTATTTAGTGGGCAGATCATCTCAGGTTGGAATGCTCTAGAATGGCCTCACTCATTTATGTGGTGTCTGATCCAATGGATCTTGGCTGCTATAACTTTTTTGTATCAAATGTCTTCTCTCCTTTTCCCTGTACTGATTTAAACTCCTTCTAATGGTGGTCTCAGGGCAGCAAAGACAGCTTCCCTAATATGCATGTGCTTATCAAACCTCGGCTTTCATTAGGTTTGCTGATGTTACATTGGTCAAATCTAGCAAAGCCCAGATTAAAGCGAGATATAAATTTTGATAAGAGAAACAATAAAGTCATATTAAAAAGATAGGGGTATATAGATATAGGAGAAATTATTTTTTCTTTGTAAACAATCTATTACACAGTCTTTGAATTAGTAAATGGCTTTACAATTCAATTTAACCACTAGCAATTTCTTTCAATGCTATATAATTATTTAAAGGGATTTTAAAAATATTTCTGACAATAAAATGATTTTCACACTTTGTAAAGCATTAAGGAAAATATGTATATATAATTTATACATACTATAAGGAATTAAATTCCACGACTAGAACTAAAACAAGTATTTAAGAATAAGTGATCCATACTGAAGACAAACGAGATGAAAGAGTTTTTTCCTAAACAACTAACTGGGTTGATTAATAGACAGTTCAATATTTGCTTAAATTCCTTACTTCCTGCAGTGCCCACCTTTAAGTTCCAGGTTATACACACTGTCTGTCATGATGAGAGACACAATGACCTCTGGCTCAGAATATTCTATTAGAGTTTGCTGAACAGCTGGGTACTGTATAGAGCAAGCATCAGACTTCACAAAAACTTACCAAATTTTGAAGAATGAAGTCATGGATTTAATCTAAGTTTGGGAAATAGATTAAAACCCAAAGATTTGCTATTGGAAAAAAAAATATGTCACTTTAAAACACACAAAAAAAATTCATGATGCAATCATATAGAAGAAATTTACTTATATAAATATTTGTAACTTTATTTTTTTATAAATTCTAATAAATAAGAGAAAAGATAATTTACAAGTCTTACTCCTCACAAATTTTCATGAATTAATTGACATGTTTTGTAGTGTGCTAAAAATGAAAAATCCTTTGATGTTTTGTATAACTGGCTGAATTGAATTATTGCATACTACCATTTTTGATGTTTATCATATACCAAGAATCATGTGAAATAGATCATCTATGAAAAGAGTCTTGTGTGAAGCTATCATATGTTTTTGTTGTTGTTTCAGTTTAAAACAACTAATGCTCAGTATTATGTCAGTAAAATGGCACATGAGAAATAAAACTCTGAAATCTCCTACCTAGGATAATTCAATTTTGGTGGTATAAATATTCTCATCTTAGTTTATTTCCATCTACCATGGTGTTATCAATGAACACCATATTGGAGAAAGATTCATAAAATCAGCTCTGTGAGCCGGAGGAGATGGCTCTGACAGTCTCTTGCCAAAGTCACAGTGACAGTAGGAATTAGGAAAAACAGAACTGGAGCTCCTAGTTGTCCATAAAGTCCATTCTCTGAACTACCACACCGTAATGCTTTCCTGGCCCAATACACTATTCAAGTGACAAATCATAAAATAATAAATGTCACTATCATCTTTAATTTCAGAAACTTTATGCTTCCTTATTCTATTTTTTAAATTAACATAGGAAATATTCAGTAGAATTACGGAAACTATCACATTAGAAACTCAGGAAAACTTTTATGCTTCTTTTATTACATTTACATTATTTTTTACTTTTCATCCTTATCTTAAGCTTTTTAATTCTTCTTAATGTTGCTTTTATCAAATTCCATTGCTATATTTCTTCCTAAAATCTTTATGCTTAGCTTCCAAAAGCTCTCTTGCTATTTCAGATTGTTGTTTCTTTCTTCTTTTTCTCCTCCTCCTTTCTCTTTTTTTTGACCATATATTTATCTTTCTAATGTTGCAGAATAATATTCATAAATTCACCCTAATTCTTCAACTAGGAATGAAATCTAGTTGATAAAATAATGTAGCTTATATTTTGAGAGCCATTTACTTTCTCTTAACCAGATTTTCTTAATCTGGGAAATGGGCTAGTTTAGTACATACCTTGCATTGTATGAGTGGCTGATTCATTAAAAACAAACAAACAAACACTCTCACTAAATCCATACACTACAGAAGAAGCAAATGTGAAAGACATGACAGAATGATGATGCTATGAGAATGGAGGGTATTTAAATTATTTGATCCTAATAAAGACTACCATTTGATGGTTAATGGAGCACATTCTGGAAGTGATAGAAATTTTCAAAGTAATAGCAATTTTTTCACAAGAAAAAAATATAAAATTGTGGTTTAGTATTTTCTTTACATAACATAATGTACACTAAGAATTTTCATCTTTTGTTAAATTAAGGTGTTAATAATAATGTTCATCACTTATGAATTGGAAGAATGACAAGTGAGAGATTATTTTCCCAAATAATCTTACATGTGTCAAGCTTAAACAATAAAGGAAAGATATTAAACTTTAGTATGAATGCCTAGCTGTTTGGCTAAAGGGAAACCAAAAAGCATACCTGTGATGATAGAACAAAACATATTTAAACTATAGAGCAAATGAAGAGTTTTGAAGGTCATCAGAATTTTCGTAACTTCTTCTAAAGTCTGAACTGAAATGAGTAGACACCCAAAATTCTTCACATGTACTTCTGCAGAAAAATAAAAGCAGATATTATGTTGATTCTTCTTTTTATACAAGAAATCCCATTGTGTATTTTCTCTGCATCTAAAGATATAAAATATAGTGTGAAATGGTTAGTTTATAATATATAAGTCTCACTACTGCAAATAGGAATACTCTTACCTTTTGTTAGATGTGTCACTTTTTATGAATCCATGGAAGCATGAGTGTTGTCTTGATTTCCCATTGAAATTATTAACTTTATTCTGTAGCATATGCTAGGTTCTGAAGTACCATACAGAAAGGTAAATGAGGAGTTTATTTTTTCTGATTCAGTTTCAAGTACATCCAGACAAATCAAAATAGAGAGGAAACAGAACTAATTGGAAGATTGAGGCTCAAATGAAATTAAATCAGCAATAGGAACAATATGGAACTCTGGGTCAGGAAATGGAGCCAGGAGTGAATTCAATTTTCAGTAGTGGTTAGTTATAATTAAACCCCAAATATAATTTGTAAATCATGAACTAGACCACTGAAGAGAACATACAACAACATTCATGTTTTGTATCTTTTACTTTCCAATCCTCAACTCCTACCCTACACTTACTGTTTTATCATGAAAAGACAACAATACAGGTTAAGACTATGTTTTGGGTGAAAAGAGAATCTTGGAAAGAAAAATAACTGACTCAAAATTTAAGCAATATTTTCTAATAGGTGAAGAATGGTGATGATGGCATACATGTTGCCTTAAAGAAAGAAAATAAATCTATCGAATATAACACTTTAGTTCTTTGTTAAGCCAAATGATTCTGTTTAGTATTCCAATGGCTTTACTTATTAAATTCCATCACCCAGTAGACAAAAAATGCAATTTGGCAATAATACAGTAATAACTGGCTTTTCCCCCTTATAATTAAAGAACTTGACTTTTCCTTTTATAAGGGATATTACATTTGCAATGCACTTGTTATTTCTCTTCAAATTTTGCTAAATTATGCTACTATAAAATGCATACTTCAGTTATTAAAACATAGTAACTGAAATTTTTTTTAATCTTTGTTCAGGGGAAAGTGCAGGAAAGACTCATTTTTGCATAAAATTTTGGACTGCAGCAAATCCCATTTGTCTCATAACTCTGGGTTAGGTTTTTATTGACCTGTAAAGTAACATGACATTTCAGAAACTTATGGTAATTTATTTTGTACGTAAAAAAGTATCACTGATGAACATCAAATTTAAACATACTCTAATTTAAACAGATTGTGAAACAGAAGTAGTGAGAAAGTCACATAAATAATAAATAAATTAAAGAGAAGTTGAGATTAGTCACTAAGTGCAAACGAAAGCTCTAATAATGACAAGGTTGCGAACAAAACATTTAAAGAAATGAAGAAAACATCACTTGCATATCAAAATTTCTGTTACATGTTTTCTGGGCTTCATTTCATTATAAAATTATGAAATCTAGCTTGATAAACAACACTTAATTTAAGAGAAATGCTGCAAAAATTGTCTTGTGACAAACACCAATTCTGTATGTTCATAATATAACCTAATTTTTAAGATGCTATACTTAATAATTTTAGTTCTTCAATATGAAAGACTATAATTTCCTAGAGTTGATTTTACTGGACTAAATAAATTACACATTTTATTATTAGACCTTGCTTTTTATCTTGAGCATTTTATTTTTATACTACTTCTAACGTCTAGAGAACAGTTGAAGAGGTTTAAAGTGATCATTCTTTTTATGGAATACATGGTTTGTCATGAGCAACATAAATAAATACATTAATTGCCTTATCATACTTTTTATCTGACAGATGGGTCCCCAGGCACAGAGCCTAACCTTTTATTTTGACACCTGCCACATTTGCCAGCCCTGACCCTTTTCCTTTGCCAGAGTGTCACTGTGCTGTTCACCATGGTTGCACTAATCTCCAGCTTTTAAAAAGCATAATGTTGGAACCCTTCGGAGAATCACTGCTATCAATCAGTTGATACTACAACAGCAAGTATTTCACAGATCCATCCAACATCCCTTCTCTCCTGTGATTCAAACACATTTTCTCTTGTTTCTATGACCTACTGGCTCAATAAGATTACATGGAGCTTGTTTTAATCTAAGGCCCCATATTGCTAACACCTGACACAAACCATTTCATTTAGCAATAATTTAGAGTTTAGAATTTTTTTAAAAGTAAAAACTGGAAACTAGGTTTGAATTTTCTTTTAGAATAATAATCTTCTAGTCAAAAAATCTGCTATTTAATATAACTGAGGAGCAAAAAGCAATCTGAACACACACAATTAAATGAATTTTTAAAAGCATCAAAGCAATAAAACATGTTTTGAAAATCACGGCGCACACAATCTCTTACCTGCACCTTTGGTTTCTGGAGTCACTCCAGAAAACACTATCACATATTACATGACTGAATCCTACAACTAAAAGTACATGTCTGCTCCATTAAACAGTGGGTTTCTTTTTTTCTAAGGAGCACTGGAAATCGGAGAATATACAAATGGCTGGTATATTACAGAAGCTCATCTATCACTGTAGTAATTTGGCATAAAGTTTAAGAAATTCACTCAAGCAAAATCAAACTATAATTATGGAAATTTTGTAATCAATCTCTGGGAAATTGGAAACAAAAAACTAGCTAGATGGGTTGATAGGAAACAGATTTTTAGCAGCAAACAGGTAGTTTCACTTGAACAACACAGTCTGCAATGTGGCTTCAACACTTCATTTCGGAGATTTGGATGCCAATAGCTTACCTATCACAAGGGCATCTATTGGCTCTAAAATAAATATATTTTATATAACATGAAAACTCAGTGAGTAAGTTTTGGTTAAACTGTGTATGTTTTAATAATTTAGCAGCTTATTTTATGCCAACTAGGATATATATGTTGATTACATGACAGCTGGTATCTATAATGTAGGGCTGTTGAGAAAATGCTGTCTAATTATGGGGGTTAAGGGCTTTTAGAATTAAGAGTAATTATACTGTTAGGACAACTTTTTGTACTCCAACATCAGCAGTTCTTTAATGTTCAGTGTCGAAATACTAATATGACTCAGCTCTATTGCACATATTCCTCTTTCCGCCCTGACCTAACCCAGATTTCACGAATTACTCAGTTTCTGGGAACTTGTTTTAAGCAAATAAAAAAATACAGAATGTCCTTGAAAATCCTTTCTTTACATATTAGAGCTAAATTCAGAGACAAAAATATCAATGGGCCCAGCTATGTTTTCCAGCTGTCATGATTTATGTCTGTGGCCCCCAGGCCTAATGAGTTTGCACTGTGCATTTGTGATAGTTCATTGTCTAGAGCTTGGATTGATGGTGTGAGTGCTACACCATCGTAGGGGTGGAGCCACGATGTAATGTAATGGCAGGAAAAGGTGTGTCTTGCTCTTTTGTGGGTTTTCTTCTTGCTGTTTGCAGCTGCAGTGAACTGCAGCTCAGCCATGCCAGCCTGCCTTGGAGCCAACTAAATAGGACTAACACCTCCAAAAAACAGTAAAAAATAAACCTTTCCTTTCCCAACTTTAGGCTTCAGGTATTTTGTCTCAGCACCGAGTCAAAAATAACTAAGGCACCAGCCTAGCTACAAAAGCCAAACTGCTGGCCAGACTATCCTTTGGATCCAAATGGTGGGAGGCACAGATCATGTGTGAGTAAACATGACAGCCTACGTGACCAACATTGTGGGCGAGGATAATTTTCTTGGAAGAGATGTAGCATGACTGACAAGCCAATACACCAAATGTGGTCTGAGACTGGGCCTGACTTATGTGCTACTTTTTACCTGTTCAAAACAGTAAGCACATTAAGGATAACAATTTTGGGGGCCCTTTTAGCTATTTGTAATAATAAATATTGAGAGCTGCTAAATTTATTATCAACAGACTCGAACTTGTGTTTTGCTTAACCTATTTTTGTTTTTTCTAGTAATTAAAGTATATTATAATATTAAAAAATAATGGCTTACAACATATTGGGGGATGGTGAAGAATTAATTTCCACCATAAATAGTTTGAGAGTAACTGGATTAGACTTCTAAACTGTTTGTGCTATTTTTCTAACCAATCAAGTAATAAAATCAACTCTTTATGATTAAATACTTATTCTGTGAACATCAGTTTCCTTATTGAAAAAAAAAAAAAACAATGACTACAATACCAGTCATACACTTCCAAGTTACCAGTAATGATCAGATACAATAGGTGAATTCTGAAAATTTGTAACAGGTTCATCAAAATGAATTTACTGTTTTTCACTGCTATTGAAGTTGCTGTACATAAAAATATATAAGCATTACTTGGAAAAGTAAGAATATATACTCAACTTTATTAGAATAAATATATACATTTTAAATTTTATAATGTTTCCACATAAAAATGTAAGGTATGGCAATATGAATACCTTTATTTCTGTTCTATTTCCTACTTTTTAAAAAGGCAATTAAAGATCAGATTGATAAAGGTTGATCAGGAACCTCCCCATGCTCAATAACTTAATTGTATGTAATAGTTAAATAAAAATATTAAGCATAGTAGTTTAAGGATTACCAAGAAAAAGCACATATTTAATAAATTAACAAATATTAAAATTTAAAGATATTCTAAAGACTTTGTGCCATGGAGTCAGAGATTTACAACACAGGCATGATTTATAACATATTACTAAAGAGTAAATAAGATTAGGAAACGGATGTAGATGAGCTCAGTTATTGTAGGAAACATAAACTATTTAAATGAAAGCATACACTCAGACAATCTATGTGCATGTGTGTGTTAGTACATAAATGGGTGGAGAAATATCAGGGAATAAATCAAGATAGAAACAAGTAAATGTAAAACACTAAAAATCAAAATGCAAAAATGTAATTTTTTTTACCATCAAAGACATGATATTAAAATGAAACTGGAACCTTTCTAGAATATTATTTTTACATGTACATTGTTTACCATCACATGAAATTCAAACATTACAAAGACAAAGTCAT